TAGGAAATGAAGGTTCCACTCGCCTTGACCATCACCATATTATAGGAGGTCGAAAACTACATTTACCCGTTTATATGCAAAAAATCAATTTGAAAACTATAAACCCCTCTTAGAGTAGAAAAATAAAGGTGTGATGGGTCCACAAGTGGGTGGGCGGGACTCGACTTGCAGCCACGTCCTCGCCGTGGGTCCTGGGGATCCCTGAATGTGAGCGACTAAGTGACCCACATTCAGGGTGAGCTAAGAGCTGCAACTGTCGCTCAGATCAGAGAATCATATGAATTTAGCCGCGTAACGTACCCTGACCAGAGGACCGCAGGTGTGAGGGTGGGGGTGTAGGGGGTGGGTGGTAACCTGGATGGTAGTGGGTGGGGATTGGGATGGGTAGACTCACTAATATTGCTCTATACCGTACATTGTATACGGATTTTTAAGGTTTTTTGACAAATCAAGCGTATTCTTGCCTTTTGGGTGCCCTTACAGATCGGAAGTGGCTCGGTGATAACTCGTTAGGCTTCCCCCATGACATGGAGGGGTGACCAGCATGTAACATACCTGGAACGAACCTTCAAACATGGATTTTAGGCGCGGAAACTGGTGGAAACCGGCAGTGTATTGCGGGTTGCCTAAGCTGAGGCAAAACGGCCACGTAGGCACCCTTAAACTATATCCGAAAATTTTTTAAAAAAAATTGCCGGTCTTTTGGGAGGACGGGCATCATTTTACCGTGTTTCAAAATTGGAAAAGTGATCCACACCCCCCGATGACCGGCCCTATCATACAGGTGTCGCACGACAGTCTAACCGTCGATTGAATTATTGCTAAACTCTGCACAATACACAATTTTCGTGTCAAGATAGTCAAGATGCCAATGCGGTACGTAAACCTGGGAATAGTTGACACAGAAAATCGCCCACATTTGCGCGATATATGATATTCTACCGGTACGGCGAAAACGCCGCCGCGCCAAAGCGAAAGCACATTTTTAGGAATGTATCATTCGATGCGAATTGGTCTGATTTCTCTTGAAACTGACACACTATTTCATGAAGACATTCCGTTCTGAAGTTAATTCACGCGTTAAAATATGTTATGTATGTGTGCTGTGTACCGTAGAGGTTAGCACATGGCAACTAAGTGTTGAATAGGCATTTACAGACCGGTTTTGGGCATTAATATACTGTTCCTTATGAAGATACATGTGCAAAACTATCATAATTTGTTCTCATCCTCATGCCTCATGTTGACAAATATATACTGCTAGCCGAATCGTTGTAAGGAGTAGGGATTGGATTTACCTTTTATTCAAGTGCTCTTCCTACAATAATTTCATGAAAGACATGGCACAGAATCGTTTTGTATGTCATCATTAACATATATTTCCATTGACAGAACTCCTGTTGCTATTCGCGCAGTCCTGGTACTGCTAGGAATTGTAATAGCAGCCTTTGGGGTGCACTGGCCATCCCGGACCATGAAGTTGTTACGGGTGTTGCTATCACTTTGTATGTATGCTGTACTACTGTAAGTACACAGCAATGACCAGAAGTCTTATATTCGTTCCGCTGATCCTGATGATGAAAGTTGCCGTCCTTATTAAAATGAGCTCTTTCTTTTTGTTACAGCCAAAGAATTCTATGAGTGTATAGTGGAGGCCCTCAAGCCAGAAGAATGACAGTGGGACAAGAATAGCTATCCTTTAATGATAATCCTTTAATGTAAATGTATTGCAAAGTCAGTGATGTTACCAGTCATCTCAGTTATTTGCTTACAAAGGGAATATCAACTGGGAACATGACTGGCTCACACAGTAACACTCACTTGCTAGCGTCATGGTCCTCTCTGACCCCATCCACAATCAAATGTTTTGCGGGCTGTAAATATTTCTTCGTCTTCAAACCACATACGTTTGATGCTTGTTTTTAACTAGATTAATTGTGTGAATTACTACTGTGTATGGTGGTCCCAGTTCGGGGCTCTCTGCTCGCTCTGCCTGCCTTGGCTCTCCCTCCCCCATGTTCCACCCGCCACCCGCCATTAGTTTTCATTAACCGGAGCTGAAGCCCTGTGGTGCGGTGGTGGATCCTTAACCCTGGGAGGTAGGGCAGCCGCTCTGCCGTGACGGAGGTGCATGAGATCACCAGACATTCTCATTCCCATACCCATTCGGATATCAAAGTAGCTCGTTTTTAGGTCGGGTTCCTCTGCAGTAAATTTTTACCGACTGCTTGTTGAAAAGAAATTTCCAGTACGTCCACGCCACGCGTGTCGCACTGGAAACGCAAGTGTGTGCGTCGCTCACTGGTAGGTGTGTGAATATCAATTCGTACTCTTACGGGCGTAAACGTGTGAATTTCATCACAGCGTTGAAGTACGTGAGTTATCGCGATGCCCGTTAGTCTACGCCTGCGCGCCGTCCAGGTCCAGGTGTGCCACCGTGACGTCCGAGCAGGCTCTGCGAGTGCAAAGCAGTTCCAATAAAGAAAACAAAAATTCGTTTCAATTACATATATATTTGGACTCCGCGCCAAGGCTGCGAGATACTGTGCAATCGTCTTGGGCCGCGTTCCTAGCGCGAACACTGCTGAATCTGCCCTGGTACGTTGTAGTCCTAGTCGGGTTTCGGAAGAACTTTAGTCTCTGCCACCAAACATGCCTGTAAGTTTGCACCTATGCCAAACATCATTCTGAACCTATATTGTCCATAAGGAAAGATTGGAACATTTGGAAAAGTCCAGTCTACGGGGGTGCTATTGACATCGTAAACTCCCTGTAATAGAAGTCGTCAGTCTTTACAATTCATTTGTGTTTTGGCCGCGATTACAACCATGCATTACCATAAATTATAAAAAATAAATTCATGAGAGTATAACGAGAGCACTTCGACGGGTCCTATTAACGTTGTCCGATCTCCCCGCGACGCTCCAACGTCGTCCGATCTCCCCGCGACGCTCTAACGTTGTCCGATGTCCTTTTGCCGCGCGCTCAGCAGCGCTGTCTTCTTTTAATTACCAGTGGGGTAATATCGGCAGTAGAGGAAAAGTGAAAACTGCTACGTGTTGCTCAATCTTGAAGGACCACCTGGGAATTTTTACTTTTCCTCTACTGCCGATACTACTCCACTGGTAATTAAAAGAAGACAGCGCTGAAGAGCGCGCGGCAAAAGGACATCGGTCGACGTTAGAGCGTCGCGGGGAGATCAGACGACGTTGGAGCGTCGCGGGGAGATCGGACAACGTTAGTAGGACCCGTCGACTTGCATTTAATTACTTACAGGTTTCAATATGCAAGCGCTTTTATCATCTGCTCTCTTCTTAAAAATTTGCTCGAAAAAATTAGGGAGATTTGATCTTAGAGCTTGACAGGCATTTCTTCTATAATAAAAGATAAAGTTGTTTTCCTTCCATTGATTGTTTGACCGGGAATCCAGAATTACTTTCCCCTGTTATAACAAAGATTTGGTGTAAAATCGTTTCTCAATTCTTCCTTCGTTTTGCGTCTCAGTACTGTTAGAACCCTGCAAACAAAAAGAGGGAACAGATCGTTTGCGTTCGCACTCCAGACAAACACGTTAGTACGTAGGGCCCCGTGCGTTAACATTGTGCACGGGGTAGCTGAGCAGAGTGCATTAAAATAACAGAAGACGTAACAAATTTAGAACGAAACTATACAAACATAATGAATGAGGGTCCGCCTAGTAGGTAGGCAACCGATTCTGCTGATTGAACGTGACAGATGGGGGGAGGGGTCTGTTTCAATTAGTCCGTCTCTATAGGGAGCCGTCTAAGGGATAAGGAATGTGCACAGTTAAAGTCTTACGAAGCAAAATGCCAAATGCTTCGTACCTACGAAGCATTTTCTCCCTACGAAGCGTCCAAATCCTTCGTATTACAAAGGATTTGGCATTTTTCTTCGTAAGACTTTATCAGTGTGTCTCAAGATCCATATGTATCTGCATTTTTGGGCAACCCTCCATGCATCATATCCCCCCC